TCCCCTTACCGGTCACAAAAAAAAAAAAAAAAAAAAAAAAAAAGAACACCTAACCCAAGAGGTGGGAGTGGCCTCGCATGTCTCTCTAGAATATCTCCTCCACCAGATATTTGCCCTTACAAAAGGAAGAAAACAGTTATGGAGCATGGCTTGGAAAATGTCTCCTGCTACAAAAGGCTTTGAGAATCTGAATAAACTATGCGTTAGGTGCATGCGTGGGAACATGAACAGCAGCTGCTGCGGGGTAATCTCTTCTCAGGGTGCCCTCACCAGTGTGTTCTTTGCATTGACCCAGGTATCCGTCAGCTCCAGCTAATACTTTTGAAAGTAGCCTTGATCCTAGGCATTGAAATCCATGTCAGTGTGGAATTCCAGGGACTTGTACAGCCTCCAGAGGACCAAGAGAATGAACGTAAGTTGGATTGGACAAACGAAGAAGGCGTAAAAGGGCATTGGGTAGGTGAGAAAAAATGAGATCAAGGGAGGAGACTGGAGGAATCTGCGGGTTGCTTTCAGAGCTAGTTGAAGGGCTTCTCCAGCTTAGTGCGGAGGCCTCCGACATAGTACTGGACATCACAGGCACTCACGTTACACAGTCGTGTGCTGGAGAAAGTCTTTGTGAACGCTCCTCAAGGCTTCTTTCTCCCTGTGGTTTGTAGCCACACTTTATAAATAAATATCTTTTTTTTTTGTCCTTTTTGAGACCAGCCGCACTGCGCTCAGCCCGTGAGCGCTGTGAGTGCTGTGAGCGCACTGGTCATCCCTATATAGGATCCGAACCCGCAGCGGGAGTGCTGCTGCATTCCCAGCACTGCACTCTACCGAGTGCGCCACAGGCTCGGCCCTGTAGCCACACTTTAACACGTAGTGTTTCTGGCTTGGGGTTTTCTGCAGTCTGTATGCCTGTGTAGCTAAAGGCAGTCTTGGATGTGTGAGAAGGTCTGGGTGATGACATCATTTTGACTTTGGTCCACAGGGATAGGTTGGCGGGCACTGGTGCGCCCTAAGACTCATCCTGTGTCAGAGTATGAGTTTGAAGTGATCATCGGTGGGGACGGCCGTAGGAACACCTTGGAAGGTACTGGTTCATGTTGCTTTCCTTGGTTCATAGCACATGGAGGCTGACTCTGTCCCACCCCTGGGTGAGAGTTTGTGTCATCAGAGTCTACACTCTAAAAATCCACATGTGTGCTGCCTATTCTAATTGACTGGCAGGCCCTGCCTTCCTCTAGCCAGTTGGTACTTCTTATAGGGCACTCTTGTTAGGGTACTGGGAAACAAACTATACTTTGGTTGGCACTGCAGGATTTAATCTATCTACTTCCTTTTTTAAAAAATAGAATCCTTAGTACTGAGAAATATTCTGGTCAGTCATATTTCAAATTGATTGTTAATAGTGTGGGAAATTTTGACTTCTTTCCTGAATTGTTATATTCTTTGGTAGGTAAATACCTTATTTTCAGATGAGAAGAGCTGGCCTAAAATTTTTCCATTGATTCTCATCCCCCACTTTCCTTAATGGCTTCATCAACACCCCCTCTCATTTGAAGGGATCTTCCTTCTTCTCTAGCTAACTGTTGCCACCTCAATTTACCTCCAGGATTTCGTCGGAAAGAATTTCGTGGCAAACTGGCCATTGCCATTACAGCGAATTTTATTAACCGAAATACAACGGCAGAAGCCAAAGTGGAAGAAATAAGTGGTGTGGCTTTTATATTCAACCAAAAATTTTTCCAGGAACTGAGGGAAGCCACAGGTTGGTATAGATGCCTTCAAAGCAGGAAGAATAGACATTTGAATAAGCAGCTGTTACTTTCTTCCCGGGGACTGGCAGGGCAGGTGTCGTTGGTGCTGTGGCTGTGCCATGTGCCACTTTGCCCTGTCTTCACTCCCGCACTTTGTTCTTCTCTCCTGCTTTAGTGTCCTTACTTCTTATCCCAGTGACTAGGCTGCACTGGGGTTTGTTTATTTATTTGTTTGAAAATGTTCATTCTGCCTTCTACCAACTCTTCCCCCACTCCTTACCCTATGCTAAGTTATGATGTTGATGTAGCAAGCTGTTGGTTGGTAGTTCTCTGGTTTTATTTAGAACCTGACTTTAAGTATTTAGTATGTAGTCTTCTTCTAGGTTGGCCTTGAAAGCAAACCATGTGCTAGATAGGAACAAGATTGTTGCATGATAGCTTTTGAATAGATCAACTTAGATATTTTGCTGCAACAACAAAAAAGTGCCCTTATTCTATATTTTCTAGAACTTAGTTTTTTTACATTACACCTATTTTTTAGATTAATTGAATTAAAAAGTCAATAGTTCACTTTGCCTTCAGGCATCAAGCTGTCTATTCTGTTCTTAAGAACCTAAGAGAATCCTCAAACTTCCCTGATGACTGTCAGAGTTAACCTGATAACTAACACAAACCCTCTTTTAGGGGTTATCCTTTTTTTCCCCATTTGTTTTGTTTCCTTTTTTTCCCCCATCCTTATATTTCTGCTTACTATCAATGATTGTTTTTAGGATTACTCAGGGTGTTGAGTGAATTACAGAGCAGTACAAAGAGAAATAAAGCTCCCTTTATTATTACTGAATATGCAGGGAGTGAAAATCTGGGCTTAGACACCTTTCCCTGCCTGGACTTTACAACCTCTGTCTCCGTAGACCCACATACAGTCTTTCTGGTGCCGTAATGTACCTTCATCTCAGCAAACTCTTATGTGCAAACATTTGTTTTTTGGTCACAGGTATTGATTTGGAGAACATCGTCTACTACAAAGATGACACGCACTATTTTGTTATGACAGCCAAAAAGCAGAGTTTACTGGACAAAGGGGTGATACTGCATGTGAGCAATGGATTTCTTTCAAACCTGTTTTTTGTTGAACTGGTTAATATGATCACCAAGAGAAAGAATTTTATTGTCTGATGGGTTTTTTCTGCAAGGGAATGAAAATGAGCATTGAATGCATCTCCTGAGAACCCCTGACGTTTTTTAGTTTAACTTAAAAAATCTCTTATTATGGAAAGTTTCAAATATAAACAAAAGGAGAGAGAATCGTATCATGAACCCTCATGTGCCCATCATCCAGCTTTAACAATGATCAGCACGTGGCCAGCATTGTTCCAGTAATGTGCCCACTGCCCTCCTGCCGTAGGATTGTTTCAGAGCAAGTTTCAGAAGCCATTTCATGCATAGATATTCAGTTTAATTTTAGGTGATTTGGTTTGTGGTTATAGTGAATTCCATATATGACCAATTATTGGTTTGCTAATAGGTTATCTCTTGGGAAGGGGGAATAACTGAGGGAAGGGAGTTTGACCAAGAAGCAGTAATTGGTGTTTATGGGAGCCTAACAGTGGTTCTAATTGTATGACATACACTGAGATGATGATCTGCAGCATGCAATCAGAGAATCACAGGGTGGGTGGTTCCTTGAAGAAGGTTTCTTAAGTTTTATTTAGTGTCATTGGCCTGAATGTGAGGATTACTGTCCTCATGCGTTGAGAAGGACAGAAGCAAAGAAGCACCAGATGTGCTGATTGAGGCCCGTACAGTTCCCACCAGAGACTCATAGCCAAAATTCAGGGGTCCTTTGTCATCAAGGGTGACAATGAATCAAGTTATCTAGTCTGAATTACACTACTGCCTTGTCTGAGAGGAGAGTGGAGACGAGCTGGTGAGCACGTGCCTGCAGCACAGAGCCTCCTTTCCACCCGTGAACCTCGTGTCTGTTTCTTGGCACAGCAGTCCTGTGTGTATGCAGGAGAAGCGGGACAGAGCAGTCTGTGCAGCGCGTTCTGCCAAAAGCATAAGCAAGATGTGTTTGGCTAGATGCTTTATAGAACTGGTTTGTTGATTATCTGGTACTGTTACATTGTTGCTGTTAATAAGAAAGCCAGTGGAGTGGTTGTGTGTGTGCCTTGAGACTAAGACTTAAATCTACCATCTCGGCAGAGCTGTGGTTATCAGTCAGAATTAGATAAGAGCAACATCGAATGCCAAGACCTGATGTACTTTTCCTTTTTATCAGTTCTCAGAGGGCAGGGGCTGTGCCTTGCGGGCATGCTGCGTACCAGACCCACGTGACCACTTACTCAATGTTGAACAAATAGTATTTCTAGGACCAACATGAGTGTTCGTGTTTTTGGCTTTTAACATCTTGTGGTGGTAGCTGACGGGGCCATCCAGGGCACTTGGAAACCTTAGGTCCCACTTTAGGAGAAGACAGACTTGTCTCAGTATGCCAGAAACCTCCAAAACAGAATAGGGTCCTTTATGTGGAAAGCCCCTTGTTCTCTCACCATTGTTTTTCTTCGTTGGCGGGTTTCCATAGGGCCTTTCAGAATCTTAGTCTTGCTCTGCAAACCTCTGTCCCGTTTGCAGTGTGTCCCTTCCCCCCTCCTGGACTGCTACTGCTCCACTCCCACATCTCTTCGGCACTAAGGCTTCAGGTTCTTCCTTTGGGTTGATGACTTTTGCAAGGCTGCACGTTTCATGTGGTCCTATTTGCCAAAAGCTATTTACTCCCAGAAGATGACAACTGCTGATGATAACAAACTGTAAATGCTTTTTCAGAGTACCATCACGTGAATTATTTTATGTGATATTCAGAACAACTCTGTGAGGTAGACTGGACAGGATCAGAGGAGTAGTGACTTGCTCCACGTAAATGGAAAAGCCAGAGCTATGTTTTTGCCGGCAAAGCTGCTGCTCTCTCAGGAACAGCTCTCTCCCCGACTTTTCTTGTGAATTTGTTTTGAAATGTGAGGTCACTCTGCAGGGGGAAGGTCACTATACAATGTACGTAGTGTGGTTCTGGCTGGCTAAGCTTGTTCGTCCCTGCCTGGGCTTTCCATCTTGAGTCTCTTCTCTCTCTGGAGACAGGACTACGCTGACACAGAGCTCTTGCTCTCCCGAGAGAATGTGGACCAAGAGGCTCTGCTGAACTACGCCAGGGAGGCGGCAGACTTCTCTACCCAGCAGCAGCTGCCGTCTCTGGATTTTGCCATCAATCACTATGGACAGCCCGACGTGGCCATGTTTGACTTCACTTGCATGTATGCCTCCGAGAACGCTGCCTTGGTGCGGGAGCAGAACGGACACCAGTTACTAGTGGCTCTGGTTGGGGACAGCCTCCTAGAGGTGAGTACTAGGGATGGCAGCACTTTACGGTGCCGGCAGTAGTAGTGAGGCAGAAATAAATATGAGTGAATCTGGGCTTCCCAGGTGCGCTGTGAGTGTCTACAGCGTTGCACAGCACAGGCAGACGCTCCGCAGGAGTTAGGGGCGTAGGGGAGGATCCCAGGCCACTGGGAACTGAGATTTGTCAGGCATGGGTGGAAACTCTGCACCTTTTGTGACTTGCCTCGCTACCAATTTGTGAAGTAGAGAAGTTCATTATCAGAACAGTTGCCAAATATTACTGTCAACAGCAAACTCTTTCTTTGTTCCTTACAGCCTTTCTGGCCAATGGGAACAGGAATAGCCCGGGGCTTTCTAGCTGCTATGGACTCTGCCTGGATGGTACGAAGTTGGTCTCTAGGAACAAGCCCCTTGGAAGTCCTGGCAGAGAGGTAATGGGAAGTAAGCATGGGCCTCTTCCATGAGGAAACCGGGAAGGAGGAGTGGTTTATTCTTCAGCGTAGTATGAGTTCTTCCTTCTTCTCCCTTCCTTTCTTAATTAAAGATGTTTTTGTATTTAAGAGAGGCAAGACAAGATATTGTTCATAAGATCAGAAACCTGACTGCTCTTCTCCTATCCCTTTCCAAATTGAATTTGTTACTGACATAGAAGAAATTACAAGTGACTTTGAATTCAAAGGAAAATACCAAACTGTTTATAAACATTTGTCATACCCCTAAATGTCATATTTTGAAGCAAATTTTTGCAAATGAGGTAAAAATTGTAGGATTTGTTTGCTGATAAAGAACTAATGCCTCAACCAGAAGAACTAGAGAGACAAGATTTTGTGGATGAAATTGATAGTTGATATTTTATCGTTTTAAGTCTGTTACTTAACGCATTCTGGCTAAATGTGGTAGCAAGATCTTTTTCATCTGTGATTTTCTTAAAAATTAAATATTTGCATACTTGAAGAAACAAAGTGGTAAGTTTTCAGTTCGAGGCTGGCATCTGCCGCTGCCCTCAGCACTGCCCTGCTCTCCTCAGCCCTTCCCCGTGCTCCGCCTGAGGGGCCACTGAGGTGGTGGGTGTGGGAAGCAGGGGCTGGCATAGGGTGGAGGAAGCTGGTCAAGTCAAAAAATGGAAGTATTGTAAAAGGAGAGCGAGATGTTTATGGTGCTGTCACTGCTCTGAGTATATTGTTCTTATTGTAGGGAAAGTATTTATAGGTTGCTGCCGCAGACAACCCCTGAGAATGTGAGTAAAAACTTCAGCCAGTACAGCATCGACCCGGTCACTAGGTATCCCAATATTAACATCAACTTCCTCCGGCCAAGCCAGGTAAGGTCACTCATCAGTTATCTACGTCTGGGTCCATTCTCAGGACTGATCAGAACTCTGCTATGTTGAAATGTATAGAATTATTAATACCACCTATATACATGACACTTTTTTAGTAACCCACAGAGATGTCTCTCTGAATTGGTGGATGGAAGTAGATATTTTTTTCCATCAGCAGATTAAGTGGCTAGGCATAGAGTAATCAAATGATTTGCAGAAGATCAGACATCACAAAAGTGGTGTAACCAGGGTTTTATCCCACACCTCCTAATTCATATTTCTTTTTATTTTAAATTTACATTTTAACAATTTTATTTTTATTTATGTTTATTTTTGGCAGCTGTCCAGTATGGGGATCTGAACCCGTTGCATTGATGTCAGATTGCATTTTTTTTTTTTTAAAGATGACCAGTAAGGGGATCTTGACCTTTGACTTGGTGTTGTCAGCACCACGCTCTCCCAAGTGAGCCACAGGCCGGCCCTCGGTAATGGGATCTTAACCCTTGACTTGGTATTATCAGCACCACGCTCTCCAAAGTGAGCTTAACCAGCCATCCCTATATAGGGATCTGAATCCATGGTCTTGGTGTTGTTATCAGCACTACATTCTCCCAAATGAGCCACGGGCTGGCCCTCAGATTGCATTTTGTAGAGAAAGAACACTTGCTCAGTAGTCAGGAGATGTGACTTCCACTTCAATTATTGCCGGCAATCACTGTGACTCAGACAGAACATTTTACTTTCTCTAACCTCAGTTTCTTTACCTGAAAAATGGAGATAATAATCCCTGCCTACTCACAGGGTCACAGTGAGCGCAAATGAGATTGTGCACTAGAAAGAACTCTGAGAGATAAAACACTCTGTGCAAGTAAAGATATGCTTATTTATTAGTCAGTTTTTTTCATGCTACTGATAACTCTAAAGTCTCATCACTGCATTGAGAATGATGTCTCATGAAGCATAATCATCCCAAAGAGTGGGACAGTTTTTAGAGAGCAGCCCATTTGATGTATTTGCCTGTGTTCTAGTGTAGTTTTTTGTTCACCCTCTATCTAAAGTTTACGCCTTTAGACCTTCTGTATGTATGTGTGGTGAGTTCTTAAGGTCTCCAAAAAATCTGCTGTTAATGGGCAGCATCAATGGCCCAGCAGAGACTATCAGAGAGACCTCCATGTCCGAGTAGCTAATTTTGAGCACAGCTTCTTACAGTTAATATGTTCGGGGATATTTCAAAAAGTTTGTGGAAAAATGGAATTAAAAGATAAGAATCTTTCCTTCCATGAACTTTTTGAAGACCCCTCGTATTTGTTTCTATATAAAGGATTTCAAGGTCATCATTATCACTTCTGTCTAAATCTTGTCCAACATGCTGTCCCAGTTTTTCATCTTAGTCATTCTACTTTTAGATTATCACGTGTTTGATTTTCTTTTCGACTCTGTAACTTTCTGCCAGGTGCGCCATTTATATGATACTGGAGAAACGAAAGATATTCATCTGGAAATGGAGAACCTGGTAAACTCTCGAACTACCCCAAAGTTGACTCGCAATGGTGAGTTCTGGTACTGGCCTTTTGAAATGCAGGTAAGCTATTCAGAGAAGTCTGTACTCATTCACTGAGCGTGCACAGTACTGTCTATTGCAGTGGTTCTCTAGTGGTGATTTTTGCCCTCCAGGGGACATTCGGTAGTGTCTAGGGACATTTTTGATTGTCATGATTGGGGGCTGATGCTACTAGCATCTAGTGTTTGGAGGCCAGAGGTTGTGCTAAATCTCCTACAGTGCACAAGATGGGCCCCCACAAGAAAGAATTACCTTGGTCTAAGGTGTTATGACAGTGCAGAGATAAATCAGATACAGATGCTGGAGAGAGGGAGAGATGGAGGAAGGGAGAGAAGAAGGGAGAGAGTTAAGGTTTGGGGGGAAGACCTTATGGAAGAAGTGGTGGCATTCTAGCCTGGGTCCTGCAACACTGACAGATACGGTGATAAAGGTAAAGGCCATTCCATGCTTTGTGTGTATTGAAGGGCCCCCGAAGACTTTTTTAAAGAAGAATGACATGAGTACATCTGGTCAGCTAAAGGTAAGGTAGCATGAAGTGAAAAATCAGAGGCGGGAGACTAGTAGAAATTCATTGCAGTAGTCAAGCTGAAGGTGGCAAAGGCCCACATCTGGTGCTGATGCTCGGATGGAGACGGGAGGAGGGAGTGAAGCAGAGTTGGAAGAACTCAGACTCTGGGGCCAGGTGCAACTGGGTCCCAACCCAAGTTCTGCCATTTGTGAAATGTGTAGCCTTGAACAAGTTATTGGACATCTCCAAACTTCTGTTTCCTTGACTGTGGAACGGAAGTGAGAATACCTCCCCCACACTGCGGTCATGGGGAGTCCGGGACACATGTAGAGTGCTCGTTACAACGCTCACCTTACAGAGAGGCTGCGAGTGGCAGCTGTCTTAAGTCACTGCCGTTGTAGATCGTGTGAGAGAGAATATGAAAGAGCCCAGTCACAATAGGCACCGGCAGATGGTTGCCCTTGGGGCAAGAGATAGGTGTTTGTGGATGGTGCTGCATCAGCGTAAACGAGGAAGTGGGAGGACGGGGACATTTGATCTCTATTTGGAACATCTTGAATTTGACGTGCTATTGAGATATCAAGGTGGATATGAGGAACAATAGGCAGTTGGAAACATTTTAGTCTTTCTCCATTGGGTATGTCATCTTGAAAGCAGAGAGTGTGTCTCTCTTCACTGTTCCTGTTTTAGAACCTGGAATACATATTAGATGGATGGGTGTGCAGACTTGGGAGGCATCTGATAAACTTCCGAGCCTGGTGATGGCACCAGCAGTGGCTAGTTTCAGAATACATTTTCACTGTGAAAGACTTCATGAAGCAGTGTTTTTACGATGCATGGTTTTCATCTTACGTTCACAAATCACTAAATGACTTAGTACAAAGCTTAATATTTTCAGCTGCCTCAGGCAAGGTAACAGACTTTCTTAGATACAAACAGGAGTTCACAGATTCCCTTAAATGCTCCATTTCAAAGTTCTGATGCAGTTAAGAAAAATGGATTTTTGTAAAGGTGTTTGGATTTTAGAAAACATGTCTGTGAACTGGAAAACATCCAGGTATATGTGGTTGCTTATTTAATTTTTCAATATGTGATAATTTATAATACAAGGTACCTACTTGGTCTGGAGGATTGTCCTGGTCTAGGTTCCTCTGCTTTTCAGCGTAACCCTACAAAGTTTCTTCACTTAGCAATTTGCTTGGTACCTTGGAAAGTGTAAGAACAAGGCTTTGTTTGCTTTTGGTTTAATGTGCTGCTAGAAAGAATAGAATCTTTTCTAATCTAATATTCCCAGTGTTATTTGGAGGGAAAAGGCGCCCTCAGCCACTTGCCATGCAACTCTCCAGGGAAATCCTAGAACCATTGCGAGTGAGGGCGATAGTACAGCAGGTGGCGCTCTTCCACCTAGGCCAGCATCCAGCAGTGCCTCGGGGACACGGCTTCAGCATGCAGAGATGCAGAGCGCCCCGGTGGTCCTTTATCATTGACCTTAGAGTCTGGATAAATTGGTAGTTCCTTGTCCACCTAAAATTCCACTATCATCATACCAGTTTCATAACCTTATTTTTCACTGTTTTCTTTTGAAAATTAGTTGGGACTATTTTGTCCCTATCCTCAGTAAATTTTCATACTGGGTATGTCCGTTGCAAAGAGGATTCTGTATCGACGTTATTAGTTGACCACACTAACAATCATAATTTTTTCATTGTTGTTTTAGAGTCGGTAGCTCGTTCAAGCAAACTGCTGAGCTGGTGCCAAAGGCAGACAGATGGCTACACAGGCGTAAATGTGACAGATCTCACCATGTCTTGGAAGAGTGGCTTGGCCCTCTGTGCGATTATCCATAGATACCGCCCAGATCTGCTGTAAGTTGTGGCTGTACTTTGTATTTATTTCGTTTTCCCCAAGGTTCTCAGAGCATCACGCTATCAGGTGCAAAATTATGTACTTTTTCTTGGAATGAGGTACATAGATATCTTCTCTAGAAGGTACTGTGGTCCTTTGATTTTGATTTAGTTATATTTTAAACTCTATAGCTAACCCAGGAATGATTAGCTGAGATTTTAAAATCACAGCACTCACAAGGTCAAAACTGGTTTTGACAGCCACCTGGGCCTATTAACTTCCCACAAAGGAAAACACTGTTTATTGGCCCCTGACTGAACTCTTCACTTTGGCCAGCTGTCTCTCAGATGCCATTGGTCATAAGGGAAACCTGGCTAGAACATTTGGCCAGCTTAAGGCAAGTATGTCACTACAAACAAAACACGAAACAATGAATCTTACTTGATTTCTGAGGGTTCATTGGTATTTTCTCTTCGTTAAAGACTGCACTTTTTACAAACATACGCTGTCAAGCCCATGAAACTCACATTGTCTTTCCACCTATACCAGTAACGTCTCTTCTGACCATTCTTCACACACCCGTCTACAGCATGGGTACATGAGAATGACCCCAGGTCATCTTTGGTGGCCAGTGCGCTCACGTTTCACCCACGGGCATTTGTTACCATGGAAACCAAACAAAATGATCCAGAAACAGAAGCAGAACATGTAGAGTTATTTTGGCTGCCTGTCTACTTTAGCATTAGGTACACTTAAGGGCCCAATTTTTGTTTGTTTTATTTTAATGATTCAGTGATCGTAAAAGACATAGTCCCTGTTTATATGATGGTTATGAGCTAATGAGTCGAGAGCAGGTACAGCCTTGTACAGTATGTATTAAAAATGGGGATTTCTGGTTTAATGGGATAAAATGACCTCCAGTGTTCCTATCCCTTAGCTCATCCAGAAGTTGGCAGAAGGTGGGTGAAAAAAGGGCTTGCTCTCACAAAGAGAGGGGAGGAGAAGAGGAGGAAAGCTGGCTGGAGAGGGGCTGAAATAAATGCACAGAAGTGCTGCAGGAGGGGGGTGGGCGAGTCAGCTCTACCCAACGGCAAGCAAGAAAGAAGAGGGTGAAGGCAGAGTGGTCGAAGGGACCCTAGCAGGTGGGTGGAGGGTGGGCGTGGTGGCAGAGGGGACACACACCTATTAGAGCAATGAAGGCCACCTAGGGAGGGTCTAGGGGGATTACCTCAGCAGGACACAAAGCAGCAAGATGGTAATGTGGCACTGTTGAGACTCAAGGACCTGGTTCAGGATGAGTTTCCACAGTGTAGCAGGTTTAATCTATAGTGGAGAAGGATTTTAAAAACGAAACATGCAGTGGCTGGTAGGTGGACACTAAGTCGGGCTGCAGGGCTGGCCCGCAGCCACCCGAGGAAGAGTGCTGTTGCCCTCCACTCTGGACAGCAAGAGCCTGAAGCCCCAGGGGTGTGTGTGAGTTCAGACACTCGGAGAAGCTCAGGAGATTTAGCAGTGGAAAAATCTTGTGAGGAAGGTTTTGGAATTTCCCCTCATGAAGACTGAGTAAGATTTGCCAGAGCTCATCTGGTACATTAACAGCTTGTCAGGTCCAAGGGCCACAGTGGGTGATGGCAGCAGGCCTTCAGGAGCAGTCTGGTCCCAACAGGACTTTTATCATTATTCTACATGGGTTTAATACGTACAGACCACACACAAGGCACAGGAGATACATGTTAAAGAGTTCCTATGCTTGAGCGTACAATTTAGTAAGAAAATTTTTACTGGAAAATGAGTTTTTCAACTTTTTCCTTTTTTCCCATTTATTGGGTATATCCTTAATCATTTCTTCTTGAGGGTGCCTTGTGTGTCATTAGTAAAAGGAAAGGGAACAAAACATGAGGTAAACCAGTCTGCCCTCGGGTTTCAGTGATGCACTGCACCCTGGACTTCAGCCAAAAGACCGAAACATAACTCCATAATTGTGTTTCCTAGTTTGGGGACAGTCAGCCCTTCTTGATACATCTTCCTCCTGTTTCTCAGAGATTTTGATTCTTTGGATGAGCAAAATGTGGAGAAGAATAACCAGCTGGCCTTTGATATTGCTGAGAAGGAACTGGGCATTTCTCCCATCATGACAGGCAAAGAGATGGCCTCTGTCGGGGAGCCCGACGCGCTGTCCATGGTGATGTACCTGACCCAGTTCTACGAGATGTTTAAGGACTCGCTGCCCTCCAGGGGTAAGGGCCCAGCGCTGGTGCGGAGCCTCCAGTCCCTGCCATCTCATTGCCTGGCCTTCCTCACTTCCCTTCTGACCCTGTCCCGCAGCAGCACCACCAAACGCATACCTGCGCTTACTCTGTGTTCTTACTGGCTGGTGATCGGGAGAAGTCTCTGGAACTTTTCATACCGCCTTCTCATACCCTTTCTCTCAGAACCAGCCTCTGTGAGCAAGTGGCTCTTGCTGTGGCCTCTACTGCTCCACTGCCCAGCACTTTGTAACACTTTGGAATCTGGCTTCTCTTTGTACTGCTTTTCCAAAACTCTTCTCCACAGTCAGGCACAGCCACCAAATTCACGTTCTTTTCTCATTTCTCATCTCCTGTACCCTTGGCTTTTCTGTGTCATTCAACACTGTGGAATGAGACCCTTTTTCTTGTAATTCTCTCGTCAGCTCTGGGATCCTGCACCACCCAGGGTCCATTCTCCTCCTTTCTTCTGTGACTGCTCCCTCTCTGGCTTCTTTCTCCTCCAACCTCTTAGTGTTTACTGGAAATCTTTCCTTGGCCCTCACCCTGCTGCCATAAAACATCATAGTGCTACAAAAAATGTTCCTGTTGTCATTTAGTGTCCCTTGTAGTATGCATAATGCTTAAGAGTGTTGACTGTGGTACCTGACCTGGGTGTTCATCCCAGTACTTCCACTCATCCATCCCTAGATGAGTTACTACATTTCCTTGTGCCTCAGTTTCCCCATATGTAACATAGATATATAAGTACATTGTAATACATATGCTAAGATGAATATTTGGTAAATGAAGCACTTGCCAATTTTATTTATGTATTTGTTTGTTTATCTTTGGCAGCTGGCTGATATGAGGAACCAAACCCTTGACTTTGGTGTTACAAGGCTACACGCTAACCAGCCAGCCTTGTTAGCAATTTATTAATTAGTTTCAATGACTACTTTTAAAATTAGTATCATGGGGCCGGCCCGGTGGCGCACTGGATGGTGCGCCGCTTGGGAAGCGCGGCAGCGCTCCCGTCCGAGGGTTCGGATCCCATATACAGACCGGTTCCCGCTCACTGGCTGAGCGAGGCGCGGGGGCAGCGCCGAGGTTTGCGATCCCGTTGCCGGTCCCCGGTCCGGTACGGGGGCAACACTGAGGGTTGCGATCCGTTGCCAGGACACGGAAAAAAGACAAAAAAGACTAAAAAAAATAAAATTAGTATCAGTACTAATAAAAGACTGGAATCCACAAAGTTTATAGTACCATGCTCCAGTGTCTTCTAGCCCATGTACTCTTGTGGGCATCTGTGGCTTTTCCTGGTTAGACAGACATGAGTTCTTACAGCAGAAATCCACCACTCTAACATCAGTATACCCATTCAGAGAGACCGCCCCCCTCCCCACCTCATGTGCAGCTAAGAGTGTGGCGTCTGTATACACCAGAACCAGTGACTCTGAGTCACACACCTCTCTCTCTGCTTTTCTCTCTCCCTTCCTCCCTCTCTGTCCTGAAATTATTATCACAAAGGTGAGCCTTCAGAACTCTGTCACAAGTATCAATCACAGGCAGATTCCAACTTTTGAAAAGCAAAAGTATAGGTTTTTGTAACTAAAAGTGGATTGGGGGAAAGAGTTGTGTTTGTTTATGTGGACAGAAAAGAGAAAGTTTACTAACCAGACCCAAGGGTGAATTTTCTCTGTGGAGTTTCCTATTGAGATCTGCATGTTTTTGTCATGGTTGATGAACCCTGAGAACTTTCGGAGGTTCCGTGAGCCACTGCAGGAGAGAATAGTTGCGGTCAGGACTTTGCAGTACCCTCCAGGGCTGTCCTTGAATACTGCTGCTGCTTGTTCACAGACACCTTGGACCTGAATGCCGAGGAGAAAGCAGTCCTGATAGCCAGCACCAAATCGCCCATCTCCTTCCTCAGCAAACTTGGGCAGACCATCTCTCGGAAGCGTTCTCCCAAGGTATGTGGAGGAGTCTTTTTACCAGCTGCAAAGGTAATGGCAAGGTGTGGTGACTAGATTAATGAGTCCCCCTTCTCTCTCGGTACAGGATAAAAAGGAAAAGGACTTGGATGGTGCTGGAAAGAGGAGAAAGACCAGTCAGTCAGAGGAGGTGAGATTCATCAAGGGTTTGCTGGAATGATTATACTGATTATTTTTGGTTTAAATCCTTAATTTCCAAATTTGTATTGCTAGATCTATCTCTAGTCATCTTTTATGAGGATTTCTGTGGGCAGTTGTGTTTTCTGAGGGCTTTTGCCTTTGATTTTCTGGAGAGCACACATGTGTGCTTGGGCCTCCTTGTCTCTTTGGACTCACACATTTGGCAGAGGGCAAGGGCTTTCCTGGGATATGGCAATACAGTGCAAGTTTGAGTACCTCTTTATACTGCCCCATGTTCCAAAGCATTGCTGACTCCATTTGGAGATTAGAACCTTGAAGAAAATTGTTAAGCTCAACCTACAGCAAGCTCCCAGCCACTGTGCCCGCTGCTGGCTGCTCCTCTCGTTTGAGGAGATAGTGTGTGGAATGGCCTCCTGTACAGTCCAGTTCTGGGTGGTTGGTTCATCAGGACGAAGCTCCCCATGGCTGCAGAGTGGAAAGGCCAGCACTGGTGAGCACTCTGACGGACAGGAGGATGGATGCTGCTGCTGGGAACCAGAACAAAGTGAAGTATATGGCGACGCAGCTGCTGGCCAAATTTGAAGAGAGCGCGCCCCCTCTGTCCACCGGCATAAGGAGACAGGTGAGCCCCTCACGCCTCATCTGTCCATGCTCGTTCAATCTATCAGGGAGGAGGGGCCTCTCCCGCCAACCGAGACAGGCTGTGTCCCAGGCCCTGGGGTGCATGACTGAGGACTGGGATCTGGGTTTCCACCATTTGTCTGTCTATGGCCTAGGGGAGGGTTTCAGAAGCCTGGCATACACCTTCAGGGCTGCTGTATCGTCAGCATTCAGGTGAGGTGTCTGTGTCAAAAACCAGCAGAAGGATCTAAAAAGTATGTATCTGTGTGTCCACACGAACATATATATTCACGTTTATGCATATTTAAATTATAAGAGAAGTACATGTTTGTTTAGGAAAATGTCGAAGAGTATATGTACAGGTAATTAAGGCATCTGTAGTCTGTTAATATTCTGCTACATTTCTTTCTCATCTTTTTTTTAGTGCATTCTTATTTCCATAGTTGAGGTCCTTCTTCACAAAAACTTTTCTATTCTGCTTTTTGCATTTAACTTTGGGCGTATTCTCATGCTCTACCCTCTTCGCAAGCATCTTCCGAAATGCGTGGATGCCATGCTTGTCTTAACCATTGCCCTCGTGCTGGATGTGCTGGCTGTTTCTCACCTTTCATGAAAATCACAGAGGCAAACGTTCTTGCCATAAAGCTTCTTTTCAGTGTTATGATTGTCCTCCTAGAACGTTGCCAGGAATGTGAACATTCTTGGAGTTGATTGCACTCCCAGAGGTCCTGTGCGAGAGTGCTAGGCAAGAGCGCTTGACTCGAGCTGTCTTCGTTAGGTCTCGTCTCTCCCCTCTCTGTCTAGAAGTCACTAAGAGTTCGTGCAGGAGGAGGGGCTGAAATTTTGGGAACACACCGGAAGTGTCTTGTAAACCTCCCCAAGGACCTGCGAGGGCATCCAGAGGACGGCGTCTCTTGTCTTCACTCTCTCCTCTCCATCTTCCCCACACTCACCAGCCATTGTTCCCATGGACCAGCATGGTGGGACTGGCTATTTGGAGTCTGGCCATAATGAATTTGCCACATTTAGTCTTTGGGTGTTAGTCTTTGCATGCCAGTCTTTTCATGTGGGTCTCACAGAAAAGATGATATTTGTTGGTAAACATTGGAGGTAGCCTGGAGGCTGTGGCGGCCCTGGCTTCCACCCACTTCAGGAAGGCTCGAATGCTCTCTATTAGGGTAAGGTTTCTTCTACGAGGATGGAAAGATTAGTTTTCCAATATCAGAATCAGTAGTTTAGACTCAGCTTGGGAAAAGGATAATGAGAATCACCCCTTTTTTTTTTTTTTTTTTTGCATTTGCTTTTGGTTTGGGGAGGCTGTTTTCTTTCCTTTATAAGTGTAACTCTCTAAGGATTAGTTGTGCCTCCCTCCCCCAAAGTTCACAGATGTGTGTCTGTTCTCCATGAGCACCTTCTTTGTGTCTTCTCCTACCTTAATGTATTTTATTTTGTTTTGTCTCCATGTCCTGTCCCCACCGTACTTGGCCTGTGTGTCACAGCCGACACAAGAGCGTGGGGTCAGCCGGCCATCCCGCTGCCTGCCTGAGCAGGGTCGCTCTGCTCCCACCCCCCAGTGGAAACAGGTAAAGGAACTTCCTCGGGGCCAGGATGGGCACTGCCTCCCCAGGCCTCCCCGCCCCCTCCTGAGCACTCCAGGGCAGGGCGTCTCTGTGCTCTTTTGAGTGGTGACTCTGGGAAAACATTTAACAGACAGTGCTGGTTTGATTCCATGATTTGTTTAACTCTTTGGCATTTGAGAAACCAGTTAAAAGCGTGGACTGTTAATTTGGTGTTGAAGCTGTGTGATAAGTTGTTTGGTACCTTAGCCTTTGGGGTTTTGCTATTATAAAACATGCCTCGAGTTGACTGTTTGCTAACGTGTCTCCTCGTGACCATTGAAGGGAGAGTCCTGTCTTCCTCAAGCCTGTGAATGGGGACAGTAGAGCCCTTCACATTAAATAGGAAAATGTTATCCAAGATAACACAGTCTTGAACTGTGATTTTTGTTCCAGACTCTGGACAGAGATGTTCATGGGTACTTCCTTGGTGTTTTGTCCACATTTAAAATACTCTCTTTGGAAATTTTCACTAAAACCTTTGCAGGATATCCTGGCAGACTGCTTATCCTGAGCAGTGCAGAATAGGGTAGGTAATAGCCCCTGGTTTATAGTAGAAAAGCTGTCAGAGGGGTCGGAGGCCTCTGCTGCATTCTCTCCCATGTCATAGCTGAGCAAGTTCCTGCTCTAAGGAGTAGAGCCTGGATTACCTGTCTCATAGTTTGGTGTATTGTCCAGGACTGACAAGATGCTGAGAAGTCAGATGAGCTGGCCTCAGGGGAGGTCTTCTAAAAAACGAACGTCATAGGAAATTTACCTGCATTTTATTTTCTCACCCTTTGCGTGGAAGCCTAGGTGGAAGGTTTGATTTGAAAAGTAATTTTTAGTTGAGGATCTGTTGAAGGGGAAAGTGAACTCTAAAGCAGAGTCCACAGACTCTGGACTTTTACATTGTTCACAGAGGTTGCCTGACATGGGAGGCAAAGAGGGGCAGGAATGGCAGGGGCAGTGCCTGGCGGTGGGCGAGCAGGTGGCTTCTCATGGCACGTGCTGGAGCACATTTGGGTGGGCTTGCTGGGAAGTCTGGGGTCAGCAAGGATGACCCAAGGAGCCTGGCTGGGCCATGGTGGTCTCTGTTCCTGTGCAGACCGACACGTCTGATGGAGTTGCACAGGAGGGGTGTCAGGAGCTGGGTTTTGTGGGACTGCTCATTTTCCTTCTGTCTGCGAGGTGTCCAGTAGCCACCGGCCTTGTGCCCATTTCTACATGGAGAATGTTGTTGGTCCCAGCCTGAACAGTGTGTCATCTGAGCAATTTATGTGATCACAGTCAATGTGATAGAATGCACATGGTTATATGGACAGGAGAATCAAGCCATTGAAGTCCAATGCAGGTTCTACAAAATGGGCACCAGAGATTACAGCTAGAAAGTGGCGTGTAGATGGACAAGTGAGAAATGGTGAGCAGTGAAAATTCTGTGAGATTCTTGTGTGCTATAGGTTGTATAGAGTTGGGTATTGTGAATTTACCTGGCTGCAAGGAGGTAGCACTGTGAAGAAGTATAACTCACAATACTTATGTCTGTGCGAGATGTGTGATATTTACATATAATTTTTTTCTCAAAACTAAACCAGGAATAGTATCATGAGTCTCGGCCTTCTAAATGTGCCTCCTGAAAGATAAGTGCCCTGCAGCGCCGAGTGCTCTGGAAACCTGGGGGCAGAGGAGCTCCACAGCGCCTGGGCCTCTGCTTCTGACTTGCCTGGGGCTGGGGGCGGGCAACCTGCTTTGTGTTTCTCTTGAGGCAGCTCAGACTGAGCAGGAAGGTGTGGCAGGCCCAGCAGTGCTGGCTGGGTTGGCACAAGGACCAGCTGCAACTTAGGCCACCTGTGGCAGAAGGGGAGGAGCACCGCTGTGCTGGCCAGGGCTTCTCGTGCCAGCGTCCTGTGGAAACCCTGGCTCTTCCCTTCTCCACCCTGTGCCTTCCGCCTCAGGAGTGCCTCCTGCAGGCCAGCTCTGCATGTGGAGCAGCCTGGGGTGCCAGTGGACCATCCAGGAGCTTGCGGCGGGCGGGGCTGTCTCCTGGGCCTTAGCACACCCACAGCCTCTTCCCTCGCCGCAACGTCGCAGCCTTCTGGGCATGGGCATCAGTACATTTCTGTTGCTTATAACAAAATACCTGGAACTGGATGATTTATAAGAAAATAAAATTTAGGGCCGGCCCGGTGGCGCACTGCTATAGTGCGCCGCTTGGGAAGCGCGGTGGCGCTCCCGCCGAGGGTTCAGATCCCGCATACAGACCGGCCGCTCACTGGCTGAGCGAGGGGCGGGAGCAACACTGAGGGTTGCGATCTGTTGCCGGTCACGAAAAAAGACAAAAAAGGAAAAAAAAAAAAAAGAAAAGAAAATTTATTGCTTATGGTTTTGGAGGCTGGGAAGTCCAAAGTCCAGGAATGCAGCTGGTGAGGGTTTTCTTTGGTAGTGACTTCAGTGACGGCAGGGTATCACATTGCCAGATGGTGGAAGCAGAGAGAGAGAGAGACTCTCACATGCTCTCACTTGAAACCCTCAGAGCCACACCCCTGACCACCATTATCAATCCATTCACTACTGCACGGTCCTACAGTCCCGTCACCTCTTCAAGGCCCCACCTTTCAATCACTGTAATAGGATTTCCCACCCTCAACAGTTACAGTGGGGAATTAAGTTTGGGTGGGGGGGGGACTTTCAACCCAAAGCAGTGGGTCCCACGTACAGACCGGTTCCCGCTCACTGGCTGAGCGAGGTGTGGGAGCAACACTGAGGGTTGCGATCTGTTGCCGGTCACGAAAAAAGACAAAAAAGGAAAAAAAAAAAAAAGAAAAGAAAATTTATTGCTTATGGTTTTGGAGGCTGGGAAGTCCAAAGTCCAGGAATGCAGCTGGTGAGGGTTTTCTTTGGTAGTGACTTCAGTGACGGCAGGGTATCACATTGCCAGATGGTGGAAGCAGAGAGAGAGAGAGACTCTCACATGCTCTCACTTGAAACCCTCAGAGCCACACCCCTGACCACCATTATCAATCCATTCACTACTGCACGGTCCTACAGTCCCGTCACCTCTTCAAGGCCCCACCTTTCAATCACTGTAATAGGATTTCCCACCCTCAACAGTTACAGTGGGGAATTAAGTTTGGGTGGGGGGGGGACTTTCAACCCAAAGCAGTGGGGAAACAGGATTCCTCCAGGAGGTATCAGAAAGGCTTAGGATTGTGTGAGTTTCTCAAATGCCCAGGGACTTTCTGAATCATAGACAGCATCACAAGGAAGGGGATACAATGGAGAGGGGCAGAGTGAGGAGAAGAGCCACAGGCATGTATATGGCATTCCACTAATGAAATGTGTCTAACCTCTAACTTCTGTATCCCATTTCCCGTACGTTCTTGTGTTTCCTCAGTAATTTTCCAGA